CGAATTTCAACAGTCCTCCCTTGTCGTCTTCGCCCACCAGCGCTGCGTCGCGTGCGGCTACGAATGCCCTCGACAGGGCCTTGAGTAACGCATCGAAGAAGCTGTTCGGTGGGAACAGGTTACCGACGTCTCAGGACTATTCGTCGTCCACTTCTTCTCCGCGGCAGCAGGAGATCATCTCGGCGCGAAGTCCTGACGATGGTGGCGTACGCGACCCTCTGGAGGAGATGATCCTGTCACAGTTCGATGATCTCGTGCAGAAAGACGGATGTTCTGACTAGGTGGGTAGACGGCCTTCACAAATATGTGAATGCTGTTCCTCAGAGTATCTGTAGCTTTGATGTTACCATTGCTTCGGATCTCACCCACAAACTAGAGCTGTGACCGGACCCTCACAAAGTGAAGCGGAAGACAAGAATGCAGCTACACAGAGCAACACGGACCTCGAAGCTGAGAACCACCCCATCACGTGCGTCGCTGGCTAGCTGGCTAGAAAACCCTAACCTAAGATCACATTCCCTCCTTCGAAGCTTTTTTCGAGTGCCGCAGCTCCTGCGCAAGGATAGACCGCGCTGTTGCCAGAATTGATTGGATAAGCTTGTCGCCAGTGGATGATTCCAAAGAAGTAAAAGTATGTATGTGCTTGAGCGTACAGCATTTGGCTTCGGGTCTCCTAGCCATGATCATACCTGCGCGTAGCAGAGTAGTTATGAAGGTCAGCTGCGACTCGTGTCACTAGCTTCTTTTAATGCAGACGCGACGATTAGGTACGCAGGAATGTAGCATTTAACGCCTATGACGTTAGGAGGGGAACAGAAGGGCTCCGAGGGTGCGATACGCGTCGTGTCGCGCAAGTACTTTCCAACGGGTCACCTTAGGCTCCGTTCGGCTGCACGGCCGCGTCGCGGCGCTTTCAAGGCGCCACAGCCAGCTCGGCCGCGTGGCAGTGCTTTTAGTGAGACGCGATTGGCTGAAAGACTGTTTTGGCGTCGTTGGCCGCGACGCGGCCATGCATCCGAACGGAGCCTTACATCTCTCGTATGCTGGCCATACGGATACTACTGTCAATCAGAGCAAAAAGCATGTGATACTGGAGAGCGTAGTTACGTGACATATCGGCGGAACACAGAGGTCCTGAACAGCACATCTACTTACGAACCAAGACGCGACTACATCTCTCCCAAAGGCATCAAGAACGACAATGACCATCTCACCCAGAATATCCTTTACTCTCCGATGCGTTACTCGAGGACGGCCGGAAGACGGTCCTTGAGCCTATGAATCGTGCTCTCCTTCTCCGTACCATCCTGGCCGTGGGCCCCAGTAGGACGGGCGCGTTTCGTTGACGAGCTCTCCTCGTCGTCCCGCTTGCGCTTGCTCCCGCTTCCAGATGTCCGGTTGGATTTGATCGCGGCCTTGAGGTTTGCTGCCGTGGTGGCCCGCGCAGCCTTCTTGGGTGTTTCTATGAGGCGGAAGGGGGTGGCGCCATCGTTTGAAGGCCAGCGATCCGAGTCCAAAGCCTCCCGTATAACCTGCTTTATCTTCTCGTGGGTCTTGAGTTGAAAGAACATATCCGGAAAGGTTGTATAGGCTTTCTCAATCCACTTTTCATGTTGGTAGTGGGTCATTACGAGATCCGCAAGCTGGTGAAGGCAGGCGGTCAACGGGACATTCTCATGTTGATCTCGAGCGCCGCCTTCACTATTGCTGTCAGGGCCGCACAGAATCTTTGTCGTTTTCACATGCGTTCTGACTAAGTCAAGCCTTATGGATTCATGGCAAATGGCGAAGACCCCAGTGATCCACTTGTCCGGTAAAGTATGTGGCCTGTGATGAATGAAGAGGTACGTCGTAGACCAGAAGAACGATTCCAGGTCGTGCCAAGTTTCATGAACGAGTAACTGCTCGCCTTGCCGAAGTCGAGCAGTGGAAAGAAACTGCGTGGTTCCCTGCAGATGGACACTTCAGCATTTGCAACAAAACGCAGAGAACGGGGCTCATACCGTGATTTCACGGAGATGCCCCTCGCTCCCGGGCTCCCCAATCACGGTAGCGTACTCGACATCAATAAGAAAGCCTTTGCATTTCTCCACCTCGGGGTAAGCGCTGATCATGATATTATTCACGCTGATATCCCGATGGAGTATATCCTTCTTGCTTATGTGCTCATGACCTATTGACCTGTCAGCTAGACTGGAGCAGTAAAACATAGGGGGGTAAGCACCTAAGAGCGAGTCATAGATCGCTTCCAACGCCTCGCGAGTGCATGTGAACCGACTGAGAGGGATCCCGACGGAATCGAGGATGCATCGATGATGGACGCGAGGGGGGCATTTGCGAGGCGCATTGTCATCCAGTATATGGGTGTTCAGTATGTGGGCGAGCGTCCGATGCATCTTGTTGTTCGGGTCAGGCGGCTCGACAAGATCTACATCGCTGCGCTTCCTCGCCACGCCGGGAACGTGATCAACGTGATCCTTGCCGCCATGGATAATGTCGTATATATCGCCCTCGAGTCTGCGAGTAGGGTCCCGCCAAGAATCCTTGATGATTACGAAGTGGTCTTCGTTACTGCGCTCTGGATTTTCGACGGTCCCGGGAACAGGGAAGGCGAGCCAGGTGCACGTCCCGCGACCAAGGAGCGCTGTCGAGGTCACCAAAGGTGGGCCGACGGTGATGTACTGCTCGAGCTTCGCACCGTCCTTGGACGGAACTCTGATGGTGCTGCTCTGCGCCCTCAGGGTGTCATCGTGTAGCTTCTCAGCTTCTTCTGAGAGCAGGCGCTTCTCTCTCGCCTTTCGAATCTTTTCCAGTAGGAGAGCGTCGTGACCGTGGACCTCGAAGTCTATCGTAGGGTCCACGCCACTACCATAGTAACCCTCGGCGCCGAAGCCAGCCAAGAATTGCCAGAGTGGCTCGGGATTCACCTTGTATTCAAAGGCCTCGGATACCAATATCGAAGAGCGATCGAAGCGGAAGAATCGAGCGCGATTGCCAAAAACACCAATGCCACAGAGAAAGCAGCGAGGCCGGCGCCTGAACGAGACCGTAGCG